TTGTACCTCTGAGTGTAAAGCAAGTGGTTCCTGAAGTGAGTCATAGATACTGTGCTCTCTCTCTCTTGAAGACTTTAGCATACGGATATATCAGAAGGATCTGTTCCAATCTCTGTACATTGGAAACTTATGCAAGAAGGTGGGTAGCAAGAACTGTTAGATGTGAGGTTTTATGGTTCTCAGGTCCAGGTAAGCTGCCCAGCGGAGCCAGCACTCCCTTCAGATGGCTCAGACTGCAATGATAGTGATGCCCAAGCACTATCTTTATAATTCAGCTCTGTGTGTTTTCAGTCTTACACACACTCCCTCAGCCCTGCTCTGGACATACACAACTCTTTCCGGGCACTACGGTTTTGAGTCTTCTGCAGTCTAGATCTCCAGGAACTCACAGTGCAGTGGCTGCACTGACTCCCTCACAGTAAGTGGAGTGAATTCTATTGCATGGTACTGCGTGGGAATGTCATAGGGTCTGCACCTGTGAGCCCTGCAAGCAGAATCCCGCGGCCAAAGTGTCGTTTGCCATTTTTCCAAGGAAAGGCATTGCTGAATTCTTCCATAGCAGAGAAGGAGCCCACGAGACTAAGATGTGTCTAATACACTCATTCTCAGCCCAAGGGCCATTGTCAATCCCTTCACATCATCTTTCACACACTCTTCTTGCTCTCTCTATCACTTGGGGATGTTGGAGAAACTGGGACTCGGCATTTCAGTACCTGTAATCCTTCCCAGCCGTCCTTCATAGAACTGCCCCACCAGGCCCCCAACGTGTGCTCCAAGGCTCACCCCAATCAGGTGGATTGATGTTTCTGATGCTCCGAGTTCCTGAGAATGGATGGTAATATAATTAATACAAGTCAGGGGGAAAGCCAGGAAAACCTGGCTTTCCCCCTGACTCCTGGGTCAGGGGGAAAGTCAGGAGACTTTCCTGGGTCTCCTAGCTCCCACTCCAGTGCACTGACTCCAGGCTGTGCTGCCTATATCAGGGAAGAGAGTGGGTAACCAAAAAGTTCACAGTGATTCTCCATGGTCTAGTGCTTTCAGAGCAGACACAAATATTCTGCACGAGAGCTGCCAGCCTTCCTCCTTCCTTCCCCCACCCCCCGGCTCATGACCAGGTCTGATGTTCTCACCTCCCAGATGCCTTTAAACAGGAGCACATCCCTCAAAGTCTCCCAGGTGAGCTGCATGCCCCCACCATGTGGAAGCCCCATCCACAGGAATAGAAAAGGTAAGGTATTTCTCTTTGTTTTACTGTCTTTTAGGTCCCAGGCTGATACGATCCTCACTATTTTATTGGTTTCATCTTCCTAGATTAGATTGCCTTATCTTTAATAGGACACAAGCATGAGTTTGTGTTTGCTGACTAAGGGACAGTATGAAGCACAATACTATATGACCCAGTGAAATACAATGGGCTGCCACAAATATGGTGCATCCCATTGTGGCAATACAGAACAACAAGACAGGAAGAACACAATAGGATACAAAGTCCTGTCTGTTTGGATTTGGTAGGTGTCTTACAGCTGTTCTTCACACATGAAGGTGAGGGAACAAGGGGAAAACCATGGAGAATCAAGTCTTGTGATTGCAATAAGTGAGGGTACTTCACTGCTTAGTGCATTGCTTTGCAGTATGCATGGTATGGTGCAGTGTAGTAAAACAGTGCTATACAGTGCAGCATGGGACACCACTATAGTGTAGAATAGGCAATGGAATGGAATTGGGGTAAAGACAGACTCCTTAGTGTCTTGACCTCGCGTAATGATGGGCTGACACAGCAGATGTTATCTTATTATATTAAAAAAAACCTCAGGAGTGCGAGGAAGATGACAGCATCTCTGGGGCTGGGCTGAGAAGGAGAATCTGTAGTGAGCTTAGCTCTTTAAAAAAGAGTGCCCGACTGACTGTTTCCTGAGGAGGTTAGGATAGAAATGGCTGTCCGGACTGCTGTGTGTTAGTTTGGCTTCTGCCTCTTGCCATGGCCTCCAACCTAGAACCGCATTTACACCTACCAGCAATTTTTTAATCAAATGAAAGATCTCCAGGGCCAGTTTGGTGACATTTTCCACAGCAGTGGGGTAAGCTGCGGTTGCTCCATAGACCCAGTCCACTGCAATCACGTTCACTCGGGCTGCGCGGTGTAAGGTGCTGATAAACCCATTGATCCAGGATGGCTTTGTACCCAAAGCTCTGGTGAACCATCAGAAATAAGCATGTTAGACACCTTCCAAAATAGGTCTCTCCCTGATGGGGTGCCTCAAATTCCTCCAGCTAAACAGCTTTGGTGAAAGTTTTGTTTTCTGCCAAGACATTCCCCCCAGCTTTATTTCACAGCAGTTTCATTAGAAACTCCAACACCTATTATTCAAACAGAAACTAGAAAGTGACGTGACCCAGAATAGTAGCTGCTGTTACAGCCGACCTCGGAGGTTTCCTGAACCCCCAAGGCCTGGAACAGAGGTGGTGCAAGCACCTACTCCAGACACTTTTAAGAAACATTTGGATGCTTATCATGCTGGGATCCTTTGACCCTAGCTGACTTCCTGCCCCTTGGGCAGGGGGCTGGACCTGATGATCTTTTGAGGTCCCTTCCAGCCCTAATGTCTATGAAATCTATGAAATGCTGCGGTGCTTGTGCTGATCACTAGCTATGCACAGAGAGAATTTCCTGCCACATAGGAAACTTTTGTTAGGAGCCATGAAGCAAATGACTTAACCTCTGTGTTGCAATTTCTCCTCTTTCTTAACATGACAATATACTGGCCTATACCTGTAATTTATGTTATGTTATAATGCTTCATGACCTGAGTACAATAAGTACCTGACCTGAGTCACTTATTTAGACACCAATTATGAAACTGTTCAGTTATCTGAATGTAGAACATGCTGCCAGCCTACAAAGTATGTGAGATGTGACAGGCATGGTGATTAAAACAAAAAGAATTACTTTAGGGAATGAGGAAAACAATTGAAATAATCAATATTTTTTATGATTGATTGATCAGTTGATCTCTCTCTATGATACAGAATTCTATCTACATAAATATGGAACTATAGAAATTAATGTTTATGTAATATATGTTTTATTAGCTGAATTATTTGACTTTATGAACATGTTTTGGCCTCAGCATGGATAATTGACCCTCTACTGTATCTCACATATTTAAAGCTAAATTTTGCTTTAAAAAAAAAAAAAGACTGACAAGATGGATGATATTACTGTCAAGTGACTGTAATATAAAAGCCATGGTTCATGCCCATGTGTCTCTAGGACAGAAAGAAGAAAGGTGGGCTTGGTAGGATTTCCAGTAAGTTAACTCATCCCAGGGGCTGAAAGGCCAGAATTGAGACAGGAAGGAGAATCTTGCAAAAGCAAGGATTCTTCATGAGTGGAGCTTGTCCAAAACCAGAGAGAAGATTACATTTTTAAAACTGTTCTTCAATTTCACTTTAACAGATAGAACATTTAAAGTGTTAATTGAAATTTGAAGAATTTTGCCGAGATCTACTTTTCTGCTAACATAATGGGGGAGGAAGGAAGGTAAGTAACATGTTTATCGATAGTTCCCCCCTGCTTGGCTGGAATTAGAAAAGCTGACCACCTTTTTTACTGAACTTTAAATGCTCAAATGGACATGGCTCAGCTCTACCGATACAAACAATGGAAACCATCTCCTTGCTTAAGACAAGCAGCCCGAGCACCCTGTCTGCTCATACTGTTGAGGTATAACAGGGGGAAAGAGGGATCAGTGACTGAAACAGCTTGAACCCAGAGTGCCTTCTTTGTGTGCTCTCACCTGAAGCCATGGATTAATATCTTGGTGTCCAGGCTAGTGTTGAAGCTGGAGTTCCTGTCATCACTAATAGAAATCAGCTGCCCACAGCTGGGGTTTGAGGAGGGGAAAAGAAGGAATCGGATCTTGAGGTTCATGCCCCGGAGGAAGCTGGCAGTCTGGAAGTCAGAGCAGGGCAGTCTTGAGATATTGGTTTCATTCCCTAGAAAGAGAGAGAGAGAGAGAGAACCCCCCCCAAACTGTCCAGCCTGTGTGCGCCCAGTGAAAAGAAGCAGAGGAAGAGGGGAGGGGATGGGAGGGTGGAGAGGGAGGTTTAGAGAAGGCACTGCTTGGTTGTGCTGGTAGCCTTCCTCCCATCTTTTCTCTGAAGGAAAGTTACATTGGCTCACTGTGCCAACAGTGGTAGGAGCAGCAGAGAAGGCAAGACCAGACCTGACAGCCATAGAAGTGGCTTGGCTTTATCTGCTTTGGAAAAGCCACAGTTTCATTTAGTCTCTTGGTAGCTTCACACATTCAGACATCCTGTCTCATTTTATTTTTGGTAGATACATGAGCTTTCCTCAAATGCTCTCAACCTTATCAGTACTGGGTGGTATATCAAGTGGGCCAGTTTCCCAGAGCTGAGGAAAATTATAAATGATACTGATTAGGAGAAAAAGTTTAGAGAGGAAAATGTAAACTGTAAAGTGGGAGCTCTTTCAGATTCCTCAAAACCCAGAAAGAAAGCAACTTGAAATAGAAGCCCACCTTGGTTCAGTGGGAAGTGAAGGCAACTGTTACTATTAAAAGAACAACAATATCATACCAGTCAACATGGTTTTATGGAAAATACTGTGGGGTTTTTTTGTATCCAGCTCACACACACCAGCCCTATCCAATAGCAATAAAACACAGATTAAATGGATAGGGAACCAGGTAGCTGACAGATCTCAAAAAGTCATCTGTGGGAATCCTGACCAATTCTATCTACTCTATCCTGACCAGTTTTGACCTATGCCACAATTCAATGAGTCTGGAAACAAATACAATATCACTGTTGATGAAATAACCTCACTAGAAAGTCTGAGCACCTTCACAGGGAAGAAATGTTGAGAGCACCCAGACGCTCTTTTGTTTTAGCAGAGTAGGGCACAGCAAGAAGTAATGGCTGTACAAATCTGAGTTAGAATTAAGGCACAGAGTTTTACCAGAGATGGTGATTAACTATGGAATAAATGATGATGAAAGGGGTGGATTCTCCCTTGCACACCATTTTCAGATCACTACTGGGTGCCTTTTTTGGAAGATCTGCTTCAAGCAAATACAAATTATTGTTCTCAACCCAAGAGTACCTGGGTCCATTCTAATAGCCTGTGATAGATAGGAGCACAAAGTAGTTGATTTAATCATCTCTTCTAGCCTAGAAAATTATGAAACTATTTTTCAGGAATAACAGGGATAAATCTGAAAACAGATCCCTTTTCACCTCTAGACTGGAGAAAGTGAAACAACCTTGAAGCCATGTTTATAATGAAAACAGCCTCTTCCTGTCTATACAACTCATTAACTAGTTCCCTAGTCACTGAGGTACATTTGCAGCCATTCTGGAAGGAATGTAGTTTAAGAGCGAGCGCACAGAATTGAAAAGCAGATCTCTCAGGACCCAAGGTGCCCACTACAGGATGTGTCCCTCTCCCTAAAGTCTGTTCAGACTTTACTCAGCCCCTGGGGATGGAGAGAGGTGAAGTGTGTCCTGGGGTCCCATTTAGTCCCAGTCAGAAAGAGTGCACCTGATCAATGGTACTGAGTGGACAAGCCAAATTAGATAAGGCAAATTTTGACAGCACTGTGCAGTCCGTAATTAACAAGTGGGCAAAGTGAATGAGGGAGGGGCAGGAGTTACACTGAAGAAGCAGAAACAGGTGACCTGGAATGTTAGTCTGTGAAATGTTAGCTAAGAGAATAATTTTTGAATGATGGAGGGGGAAGGGGTGGCTGGATCCCATGTTTATCTTTTTTCTCTGTGATTCCAGATCAAGCATATTCTGTTTCCAAGACAGAACCTGCTGATGCAGGAGGCTAAGGTTACTTGTCTTTGCCATCACTGCCTCCGTGCAGCAAGCAGGCATGAAAAATTTGTAAAGTCAAGTCAGCAGACCCACCTACGCTTCTGGATTGATATGTGGGGTAAGAAAGGGAGCGCTTTCAATTGCTGGCCTCACTGAAATGGGACTTGGCTGCAGCAGGGATCCCTTTAAATGGACTTCAGACTCATTGCTGAAGGGAACAGGTTGCCTAAGGGACTCAAGCTGGTTAAATTCGAAGCCAGAACTGGCCCCTGCAAATCCTCCCACATTCTTTGCCCTGCAGCTTTGGTGTTTGAGTGTCCCCCATCCTTGCCTTACCTGTATATGCTGAGCTGAGCAACAGTACACCTGCTAAAACGAGAAGAGACTTCTTTCTGGGAAAAGCCATCTCCCTCCAAGCTCTTTTGGGGTTGTAATGAGTTGAGATCAGTAGTGGGGAACAGGGGAAGGCAGCTCCTGTGCACCACTGGGACCTTCTGATAGGGCTGGTGCTGTTAATGATCAACAAAACCTGTGTTTTTTTTGGGAAAATAAAAGTAGGGGCAAGCACCTCTGCCCCTGTTTGATTATTAGTCAAAGCCCTGGCATCAGCACAAAATAGCTATAATTGCTGCTAGAAGGCTGTTGAACCCACACTTCTTCCCAAAGCAGAGGTATGGCTGTGGAGTCAGCTCCTGGCACCAGCCACCATGGCTGTTTCTATTTACAAAGTTATTATGATGGTAGGGTTTTCAGTCGCCTCTACCCAAAGTCCTTTGTAACTATTAATGAATATGTACATAAATATAGCCTCAGGACTCCCCTGGAAGGTATGGAAGTCTTTTGATTCCCATCTTACAGATGGTGTAGAACAGGGGTGGCCAACTTGTGACCTCTTTGTGTGGCATGTGGTAGATCAGAAAGGGAACAATCAACATGGTGGTAGAAAGCAGAGCATCAGATCAAGCAGAGGAAAGGAATCAGGGTGGCACTTGGGGAGGGTGTAGGGCTAATCTGTGGTACTCCTGACAAAAAAGGTTGACCCCCACTGTTGTCACAAGAGGCATTGATTGGTGGCCCAAGGTCATACACCAAGAGCAGAAATTTATAAATTCATACAGCTTATGGTCGGAAGGGATTTTTATATTAATCTCTTCTGACCTGCTGTACCACTGGGTCCAGAATTTTACCTGGTGATTTCTGATTGAGCTACTGTGCCTAAGAAGGAACCTAGTCTTGAACCACTGATTCCAAGTTGCAGAGTATTCTCAGGTAAGGTGGTTCTATGGTTCACTGAAAGAAGATTAGAGAAAAGGGTATGTTCTAGCATGACAATCCATCAGAATGAGAAGATGTCACACGAAGGAAAGGAAACACCTGCAGTCTGGGTCCCACTGTCACCTTTGATTCTGAACGGAGGTGATTTCTTATGTGAGTGGGCAGTTCCCTTGTTAAGCCTGCATCTTTGGCTTTGCCAGCATTTACATCAGCTGTACGGATATAACTGCCTTGGTGCTGTTCTCTAGTGGAGATAGAGTCCCAGCACATCAATTGTACCAGCTCAAACTGCTGTTTGCAGGTGTGTGTTATTTCTGGGTGTGTTCCCAGTTGTTCCATCTTCTAGACTCTAGCTGCTGACACCGACTAGCTAGAGGGCTTGAGGATTTATTCAGACCAGGGAGATGGGCAGGAAGGTGTTAACTGTATTGTAGTTATGCAAGGGGAAAACCCTAATATAAGATGAACTGCAAAGTGGGGCTTGCTGGGGCACAAATCAACTCTGCATAGACATGGCCTTTCTTAGAGTGACTGGGCTCCTCTGTACCTGTCAAAGGCTGAATCTGACATGTATACAGCAGCATATCTTTAATATGACATTTATTCTTTAGTAGTGTTATGTTTCTACTTTCTAGTAAGTAAGAATAATGGGCAAATGAAAGGAAACTTATCTATTTCAGATGCTATTAAAAAAACAATCAGAAGTGATTATTTGACCACTTGCTCAGGCTCATAAGCAGGCACAGGCAGGGTGTTTTACACATCTCTGTGACACATCCTTGGCCAAGCTAGCTTATGTAGATGAAACCGTTTACTCATGCCCCTTTTGCTTTAAATGGAGGATTGAAGGAAGTGTGTAATCCAGTCTCAGTCAACATGAAACCAAGGGCATGTCTGACATCTGGTACATCTGGGCTGACCAGAGCCGTGTTCTGACTGGCTGCTTGGTCCTATATGAAAATATCATCTCTGTGCACTAAACCTCATGGTTGCACAATGCAACCTTACCCTAGGGCTTGGGAAGGCAGTGGGGTGAAAGCTAAGGGAATTCATGCCCATACCTAAGCCCCAAAGCCTCTGCTCTTCCCCCTTACTTTTTAAAAAACGGCAAACGGGTACAGCAGCTGGTCCAGCCTACATCAAAGTCACAAAGAGGAATGAGGTTGAATAATCCTCTCAGACTCCAGTTAGTAGTTTCCTTCTCAAAAGCACAAGATGTCAGTGGTTTGATTATTCTCTTAGCTATCAGCTCATAATCCATGCAGAAAGTCTTGTTATCCTCCAGGACAACACAAGAAAAGTTCATCCTGGGGAAGTTAGGTAAGAAATAGGGTTTCATAGATGTCAGGGGCTGGAAGGGACCTTACAAGATCATTGGGTTACCACAAAGTTGTGAATATTTGGCCTTTTGAGAGAGAAAATTACAGTTCATCTATGACCATGAATCCTTTTGCAAACTTAAACATACAGCTACAGAGTCTTTAGTGATTTGATTACCCTTCTTAGACACAAAGTTAGGAAACTGGTACACCTCCCTTAATTATTATCCTTCCCAATCTTCCTCCATTCTTAGCTGGTAGGGTATTACTGCTACACCAGTCAGAAAAGAAGCAAGAGACCTCTCTATAGCCTGACCTTTTTTTGTTTACACCCTAAAGCAAAAGGTTAAGAACTTATTCCAATACCTTATCTAACTATTTGAGGGGTGTGATACAAATTTGCACCTATATTAACTGGGGGAAATTCAGTAAAGAGGAGGATCAGGGTTTGAATCACATTCTGACTTTTGGGGAGTCTGCAGCAGTGGCAGCCAGAAGGAGCTACTGCTGCTGCCTGAACTGCTTAGTGTCTTATGGGGGGGGGCTCAACTCCCCTCCAAAACCCCTCATAATTCGAACCCTAAGGAGGATGGCACAACGCACATCAGGTTGTCTTGAATTTGTTGAGTTCTCCAATTTTCCCTTGTTTACACTCTAGATTTATAAGCATTCTGACTGGTTTATTCAAATGTCTTTGTTTCACTAAAACTTTTAGGAACTGGACTGAAGCCATTTTCTTATAAGCTGGGAGGAGGTTAATTAGCTGTGACTAATGCCTTTGTGAAAATTACAGTTTTGAAAGGGAGGACTTCTTATCTCCTTCCGTCACCCCCTTGGAATAATGCTCTTTGCTACTGTTGGGTTTCCTTTTCTTCTTGGCTTATGATTTTTACTGACAAAGTTCCTTTACTTTTACAACTTAGTTAGGAAACTTAACACATACATATTCACTATAGCAAAACTACATTCTAATGCATTCAGTTACATCAGTTAGTACTTGTACACTGTTATGTTACTCTACCTTCTGGGCAGAGCAGAGCTAGGCATGTTTGGTCAGGCACTCTGAGCCGACCACTTCTATCGCTGGCCTTAGCAAAGGGGACACACTGTTCAGGGTCCCGGCTTCTGCTGCAGCCAAGTTAGTATATAGCAAAACCACCACCCTGGGCTTGTAAGAGATGCAAAAGAAACAAACAGTAAAACAAATAAACCGACACTTAGCTTTTTTGCTGGTTTCATGCCTCTGGCTTGCTAGGTTTTGCCCAGGTTTCACTTGCCCATAGCGTCTTATCTTTCAGAGGCTTTGAGCCTGCAGGGCTTGTACAAACAAAAAAGAAGCCTTGTTCATGGCTGCTTATCCTCAGTTAACCCTAGGCTCCAGGCAACCTCATTCTCTGCTGGTGCAGCCACCCCAGAAGCTGCTTTCAGCATCTCTTATTTCCACCCCCTGCTGATTCACGTGGCTGGCTCTTTCTCATTCCCCAACCTCAGTTAGCTCCTTTACCGGGAGGCTCTCTGCATCCCTGGACCAGTGTCCTCAACCTCTGGTGAGTCCCTCCAGCTCTGGGATGGGTGTGGGGGATTGCTTTTAGGGTGCAGGGCTGTTCAAGCTCCTCCACACCCATAGTAACAGAGCCGGGCCCTGTTACATGACTGCTAACAATTGTCAAATAAACCTATGATATAGTATATCTGGATTACCTATTGCAAAGCCTTTTATAAAATAGTTCCTTTCAGGCCTTTTGCTCTAAATTGGCTTCTGCTGACTAGGCTACTTGTCATGTCTGCCAAGGCTCACTCTGCAGTCACCCAGAAACAAGTGCCAAGGTCTTCATTCTCTTCAGTCACAGTAGCTTAATCAGGTCTTCTTAATGAAAAATAAAATGTCATGCTACTAAAACAAATATTTTTTAACTACTCTTAGTGCTTTTTGGAAAGCAATTATTCTCCCCTGGCTTACTCATATAGGGATTTTGGTTATGCTAAGTTATAGTTATGCTAAACTATAGTTAAGCTAAGACACTACAAAGGACCTTGGGAGTAATGGGCTTCACTGACCTCTGGGTTGCCTGACAAAAGATGCAGTGAGAGAAAGAGTTGTTGGTTGTAGCTGTGTTGGTTTAAGGACATAAGGCAAACAAGGTTCTTTGGGTAGATGTGATATCTTTTATTAGACCAACTAAATAGTTGGAAAAATTGTTCTTTGCAAGCTTTTGGGCACAAACACCCTTCTTCAGGCATATAGAGAGCCTGCTGGTGATTGTGTGCTCTCCTGGGTAGAACAGAAGCCAATATGCAACATGCAGGTCTGTCTGTGAAAATGCAAATACAAGGCAGTGAGGCTCAGAGAGAATGAGAGACAATAGGTATGAGACAGGTAGGTGAGGGGGGAAAGGGGGCATGTTGAACTGGCTATAGAATGTAGCTGGTAAAATGCAGGCAGGTTATTTGGGGTTATCAGATGGCAGGCAGGTTGTAATGTGCCATAAATCCAGTGTCTATATTTAGCTCATGATTTTTTTCTATCCAGTAGATTTATGAAGTGAAATTTGTAGGTTCATCTATGAAAGGCATTCTACAGATTCCCTTTGAGGATTAGAACTGAGGGATTGGAGAGAGAGTGGTTGTCTTGTGAAAACTATGCACCGACAGTTAATTGGGTATTTTTGTCTTTGATAGATTTTCGGTGTCTGTTCATTCTGGTATGCAGTTGTTTGGTTTCTCCTACATATTTTCCATCAGGGTATTTAGTGCACTGAATGAGAGGTATTACATTTCTAGACGTGCAAGTTTGAGATTTCCTTTTTGGACACTATGAACAATATCCAGAATGGCAGAATATGAATCACCATATACAAGAAACCCATGGACCAACATACATATCTACACAGAACCAGCAATCACACTAAACACACAAAGAAAGCTGTAACATACAGCCAAACCTTCTGATACCACCTAATTTGCACTGAGAATACCTGTGATTGTCACCTTGCAAATCTCAAAACGGTTTTCACTCAACAAGAACACTCCTCCAGAGAGATAGATCATACTTTTGAAAAAGCCATCCAGATACCATGTAAAGAATTGCTGCACTACAAAAAGAAAATCCCCATGAATCACACACCATTACTTATTATGACATACCATCCTTTCCTGGAACCTGTATGGAGAATCCACAAACAGTTGCAACCCATACTAGAAGAAGACCCAATTCTTAAAGAGATCTTCCCAGAGCCACCCATCCTAGCCTTTAAACAAGCACCGACCCTAGCCAACCTCATCACCAGAAGCAAATTTCCTATGGCCCCAAACACACCGAATCGATTCAGACCATGCTGGGACAAGAAACGTAAAACCTGCCAACACATCCCCATAATAACTACACCTTAAAACAGAGCCATCACCATTCCTGGATCTTACACCTGCACCTCCAGAAATGTAATATATCTCATCCAGTGCACTAAATACCCTGATGGAAAATATTCAGGAGAAACCAAACAACTGAATACCAGAATGAATGCACACCGAAAATCTATCAAAGACAAAATACCCAATTACCCATGAGGGCACACGTCTCACAAGACAATCACTCTCTCTCAAATCTCTCAGTTCTAATCCTCAGAAGGAATCTACAAAACATCTTTTATAGATAAGCCTACAAACTTCACTTCATAAATCTACTGGATACAAAAAAAAAATCACGGGCTAAATATAGACATTGGATTTATGGCACATTACAACCTGCCTGACATCTGATAACCCCAGGTAACTTGCCTGCATTTTACCAGCTACATTCTATCACCAGTTCAACATTTCCCCTTCCCCTCCACCTACCTGTCTCACACTTATTGTCTCTCATTCTCTTTGATTCTCAGTGCTTCTCATTTGCATTTTCACTGACCTGCATTTTGCATATTGGCTTTTATTCTAACCAGGAGAGCACACAATTCACCAGCAGACTCTCCCTATGCCTGAAGAAGGGTGTTTGTGCCTGAAAGCTTGCAAAGAACATTTTTTTCAACTATTTAGTTGGTTTAATAAAAGATATCACATTTCCCCAAAGAACCTTATCTGCCTGTGAGGGAAAAGGCTAATTCAAAGTAAGAAACAATAGCTGAACAAATTGGGGAATAAAAGTTACAATTCACTGAAGTAGAGATAACAAGAGGTGGGTTGTCCTCAGCAGGCTGAAAATACTCAAATTCAGTAAGAGGGTGAACTAGAAAAACCCAGCCTCAGCAGAGAGTGAGTTTAGAGAGTGCCCAAACAGAAGGAGGGACCTGCAGTTGGCAAGGACTGAGCTGCAGGTGCCTGGCCTTGGCAAAAAGACTAGTAAAAAGGGACAAATAGAGAGAGATCAATAACAGCTGGCCCACAGTGGGGGCATTTAGGCTATAAATATAGGGGTTGTAAGCCTTGCCCTTTTGTAGCAACTTGTGGGTGGGGTGGGGGAGCCTGTGCATCCAATGCATAATTTAGCATTGCCTGGGCAGTTTTGCTGAGCCTGGCTGATTGCTATGCAGACCTGCTAGCTACTGTCCTAAAAGACAGTAAACCTATCTGGGCTTTTGGCACACAGCACTAACAGTGGCATAGCAACGAAGCTTGGTGCCAAGGACAAGCCCACAGCAGCAGCCCACCCTTGCCCTGCACACAGATCCAGGGGGCACACCACCCCTCCCCTATGCTTGCCTGGAAGTGCACACAGCAGCAGGAGCCACCCTTCCCCCATCCCCATGCTCCCCCAAACAAGCCTCTGGTGGCTCCATCCCATGCCCTGCCCCAGCTGGGCAGTGCCTGTTGGTGACCTTCACTTTGGCACCCGAGGCTTTTGTCTTGTTCCCCCCCCCTTGCTATGGCACTGAACATGAATTTTAGTTTTTCTTTCTGTGTCACACCTGAGCTCCAGGAGGCTTGTTGTAGGCAACTGCCTCAGAGCACCCCGACCCAAGCAGTTTCAACACCCACCAAAAGCAAAAGCAGGCAAGAGGCTGGTTGGGAACCCTCCAATGCCCGAGCACCTCAGAAAAACTGATATTAGCGGTCTTGCCTAACAGATTTTATTCTATTTCCCCTGGCTACTGCTTATTTGACTGTACATTGAGCACTTTGAGATGTAGAAGATGAAGTACATGTAATCCATAACTGAGGCACATCCTATGCCTGCAATGTGGCCCTGTTGTGGTTTTTCAGTTACTGACCACATTTGCAGCCTACAATAAGACATGGGCTTGGAACACTCTTGAGAGGTCCTACTCCACTTCCATTCACCTAGATATGCCCATATATATAAAGCCTGATCCTAAGGAACTGGCACCTACCATCCCCTGGCTTTTGTGACAGCTGCAAGCACTTAACACTTAGGGGCCCTAATTTTAGGCACCTGTGTTTTGAAAATTGTCTCTGAAAGGGATTTTAAATGATCCCAGAAAGATCTAGTCATACCATCAAGGACTTCCTTCCTACCTATTTCTGCTGCAAGCACAAGACTGCTTCCCTGGTCAACATGAAACAATGGCCAAGTTTATACATAAGGGCAGACTCTGGCTTGCCTTATGCAGCTAAGTCCCACTGATTAGACTACTTGATGAGTAAAGAATATTTGTTGGAGTATCATAAACATTTTTCTAATTAAAAATAATTGTGCTTTCATAGCAACAGCACAGCTATAGCAGCTATGACTATTTCGTTCTTCACAGCATAACAGACCACTGAACAGAAACCAATTATATCATCCTTCCCCTTTTCAGCTAAAACAAGCCTGTATTTCTAGCAGCATTGATTACTCACTGTCAAGTGCTTTGCAAGTATACATCTAACCCTGCTTGTTATATATATTCTACTATGGCTGTGTATGTTACTATAACTCTATGTGTTGTGTTCCTTTTTTGCATACCCTCATTCCCTAGTGGGGGATCTAGGATTTTGAAAACGGTGGAGGTGCAGATGGTGTAGTACATCATTGCATATAGCACATCATACATTTTTTTCCAACTAAAAGGAAACTAGAAGGTTTACTAAAAAGCTAGGGGCCTAAGGCTATATTACTCAGTTTAAGATCAAAGCAAAAACAAATATAACTTAATTGGAATGTGTGTTAATTTGCTATATCATATATTATGTATAAAAATACAACAAATTAGGCCCCACCCCCCCAAAACATTGTTTAATTACTTCTGTCGTCATTAGAATTAAATGTACATCTCTTTTTCAGATTAATAAAGCAATATCTAGCTTTCTTCTTGAACATCTTGACAGTGCATCCAAAACTTCACTGAAAGCTATCTCCACACCTGAGTTCATGCTCACCTGAGTTAATGTTTCCGCATCTAAGTTATGTGTTTAGCTAGAGTTAAAAACAGTTTTCAGGGCTGTGAAGTAGGTGCTACATTACCAGAGCAGCTAACAGACAGCATAATTGTAGAAGAAAGAATAGATTGATTAGTGGAACATTGACACCATTAAGAATGATAGAGGGTCATTAACACCTGTGGAATAAAGAGATTAAAAAGAACCAGTAAGATTGTAAAGAGATAAGAAGTCACTTGACTCCCTCACTGCTGCCTGAACAGAAATGCTGCTGTCATTGCCAGACAGTTGGTTTTAAACTTGGGTGGACCAAGGATCAAAGGGGGGGATGCAATTACACCACTGTACCCCCCTTGATCTGCCCCTGCTCTCATTAGTACATAAATTCAGAAGTTTGGCAAGCTATTTGGATGTAGCCTTTTTCTGTTTTGAGTAAAGTGTGCAAATGTAAGTTGCCAAGTTGACTAGCTTTTTGGGCCCACAGGCCTCATGCTGAAGTCTGTAGGCTAGCAAATGTTGCAACTAATTGCACAAAGGTCACTTAGGGGTCAGCACTCACTGTGACCTCTGCAGAGATCTGCAATGAGGTGGCCCTCAGTTCCAGTGTTGAGACAATGTATAAGAAGCAGGAAAGGATCCAGATACAAGTTACTCTTTTGATGGTATTGCAGTTATTATTATTATACAGTTAATTATCAAAGTCCTCAAGGAAAAGTGTCTGTAAGAACTGTTGTTGTCCCCAACGGACAGTGTGAGTT